GAACATATTTTACAGAAAAATAGTCAAAAAAAGTTCATAGTCAAAAAAATAAAATATAATGAAAAGAGCACTGAGACTGTGAGCTGTGGAAATCTAAACTTGCCACATATTCTAGACTTCCGTGTTTTTTCTTAAGTGTATTTGCTTCAGGGTCTGCATGACAGACTACCGAAGATGTCACGACCCCCTGAACACTATGCCTGGGACTCCAAAAATATATAACCGACTGCCCCATGGACAAGAAACGGATTGCACGTGCATCATGCGAGGTGGTAGCATGCATGCTGCAATAATATATCAAGAGACGGTCATGTCACACGACTAGAATAATTTTGATGTCAATTTCAAAGAGAAATAGATACCAATGAGCCCCGCCCTGTAATGAATCGTCTATAGGCTGTGGGTAGATTAACAACGCCGGATTCAGCAAGCTCATATTGATGTGTATCTGACTATATAAGTATAATTGAAAATAGCTGTCAAGAATACTGACTAAATTGAATACTGACTAAATATGTCTATTTCATTCATATATTAAATATGTTTGTTGCCTCGTGTGAAAATATTGTATGTAATTAAATATCTGTCGTTCGTTTTCACATTTAATTCTTACTACCTGTCTACTTTCATAAATCAAATATCACAATAGCCCGTAGAGCAATAATCTCTTACACCTCAAAATTACAAACAGGTACAACCTCCAAAATGAAATCGACAATGGCATGTTCTTCATATGTCAACACTCATTACAGGTGTCGTAAAACTGAAATGACAGGCGGATGTCAATTCACAGCATGATCCATTCAAACACAGGTTACGGGATATCTGATCCACGTAGGTCTACACACAACTAAATACCCCATGTCAATGACATTGGACCTATTGGCAAATTGGATGTGCAAATTGTATTTTATTGTCAACTCACGTGGGTGTCAGCGTTGGATATTGTCTGTGACTGCGCATGTGACGTTTGATTGACAGTCGTGTAAGTCATGTTCCTATCTAAGATGTTGATAACACGTGTGAAGTGGTCTGTAGCAACCGGTCCCGAATCATTCACTACGAGCCGACATGATGACACGAATGTCAATGAGATGTATTCGTAAGACTGGGCGCCTATATATATACGGATTTGTAGGCGATGCCTGTGGTGCGCATGCCAATTAGAGACCCAGTCAACACATGTTGCTCTTTATCTTGGTACATAATGGTTTATGTACAGCATTCACATATTTGTATGCATACTATGAATAAATCTCAGAGACAAAGAGTATTTTAATCTATATACTCTAAATAACAAGTTACGAAAAAAACTTCATCTCGCCAACCAACAACCAGCTGCAGGTGTTACAAGCAACTAATAAAATTGCAAATGCAATGTGCGGACAATTATCACCGTTGGCGTGGGTGTATTCTGTTTTACATCGCAATCAGCAATATTCAAACTATATATATACACCTACAGTCGGGCAACGTTTTGGTCTTGTCATGGGAAATTATTCAATTGCTTATAAAATACGAGCAATGTTCAACACCGTCGGGGTCAGTGAGTGATCTACGCAATTGGGATATTATGACAGGTGTCAGCGAGCCCGACCACCCGATCCCGTTTGTCGCCTCTTACGACAAGCATGAGTTACTGAAGATCTGTTCTAACCCGGGTCTTCACGGGTGTCGTGGTCAGTGATACGGAATCTTAATAATTGAGTCTGGATTTGACAATCCAGTGACTGATATCAAGAGCAACGATCCACGCAATTGACATACGATGGTAAATAGTATGGACAGTGTCCAATCCCATCGGTATACGAATCCAAAAAGCTCAACAAAGCCACGGAGGATGGCCAACCGATTCATTTGGTCGCCTCGAATGAGTGAGTGAGCTTAGTTTTACGCCGCTTTTAGCAATATTCCAGCAATTACACGGTAGGGGGCACCAGAAATGGGCTTCGCCCATGTACCCATGGAATCGAACCCGGGTCTTTGGCTTGACGAGCGAACGCTTTAACCACTGGGCTGCCCCACCAACCCTGCTTCGAATGAAGGGCATAGGTTATCTGAGACCCGTTCTCTCCCGAATCCCCACGGCCGATATATGTTGTGAAATATCCAGTGATCGAGAGACTGTTTCATTATATAGTTGTTTAGTATGTGTTTACAACGTGACATTCTTACTCGATAAAAACAGATCAAACACGCACGATTCATACAGACAGAATTAAATTTGACAAAAATGTGTCTGGTCACGACCTGACATGACAGTTTCAAACATCGTGACGGTGTAAATATTATAGTCGGAAATGAGAAGTAATTCCTTTGACCTTGACCTCGGACCACGACCTCATATCAGATGTCAAGGTCACAAACTGACATCATATTGTATCACGTGTCTGCGCGAGTGCAACAGTGACATGCCCTCTCCAATAACTCAGTCACAACACAGACAGAAGATCGAACCAGTCCCCAGCATTACCCAGCTTCCCACCTCAGCGTATCAGCTTCAATATTATGAGGGATTAAACGACACACTGCCTGGGGTTCGTCATTAAGGGTCGGTGTGGGTTGGGTACGAAGAACTGTCCGCTGTGAGTCAGTATATTATGTTTCTGAATCGGGTATCATGTTAAACTTCGGCATGGATTCCATGATAGCGGGACATAGGGGTAGCCTAGTGGTTAAGGCGTTCGCTCGTCAAGCTGAAGGCCCAGGTTCGATTCCCCACATGGGTACACAATGTGTGAAGCCTATTTCTGGTGTCCCAGAATGTTGTTGTTGGAGTATTGCAAAAGAGCGGCGTAAAACCATATTCACTCACGATGGCTAGCAATATAAAACACGTTCCCACTAGTACAAGCTGCCGCACACACACGTGCATGCTCATCGATGCATTTAAGACTTTTATAATACCTTGCTCTCTCTTTCCCCTCACCCTTTAGTAACATATCATCGCATTGTTTTCTTTTCTTGCCTATTGTGTGTTAATATTTTTAAATATCAAGAGACGATTAGCCTCAATAAATATGGCGAACAAATCGATTGGGTCAATGGCAATTAATGCAAGGACACCTTTAATTATCTGGAATAAAAAAGGCAACTGGTCTCCATCATTTAGAAACACTAACGATTCATGTCTTAAGGCTATATACATCCCAGCAAACATCCCATACCCGCTAGACAATACCAGCGTCCATTTATTTAATCTTCGACTTCCTGAAGAGTCCTTGTGTGGCTTGCTCAAGACAATGTTAAACTAAGTCCGGCCAAGTTCGGAGGAGGTGTAATAATTGTATCATCTTAAATGACATTTTACGGTACACAATATATGAAAGAATACACCAAAGGCATTGCCTTGGGGGGAGAGGGGGTGCATCTGTGCGTCCCATTTGTCATTACCCTTCTTCAGTCGTTTAGATTTGATTTTTGACACGCCCTCGGAACGCAGCAGTCTGCGCATGCGCTGGTAATAAAGCGGGAGAGATGAATGACAATGAATGGGGACTGTCGTTGCCTCAAGGCAGGGGCACGTTGTCCCCCTGTGTGCTATTATCCAGTTAGCCCCAGGGGTCGGGGTGGGGGGTCATGAGATTCGGACGGGTAGGGCTGAGGGTGGTGCAGTATAACAGCACCATGGTGTAATTACTAGTGCTGAATATGAAGGAATGTGAAGTAATGCAGGTCAGAAATTCAAATTATCCGAGTGACACAAAGCGATGACATGACTCAGTTGCTGTTTTAATGTTTATTTCTGATTGACCTAATTGGATATGTATAGTGCAAGCTCAATTACACAACGGTCTTATGGGAGTATTAATTAACTAAATGCCACATTTCAAATTAATCACTGACTGTAACAATTAGCGAATTATTAAGTTTTTATATTCAGCCACATTCGTGAGATATTTGGGGATGGGTCAAATCTAAGGGCGAACTTAAATTTAACTAATGTTAAGTTACAAAGTAAACATCACCAGCATATACAGTCAAAGCTTGAATACTATCTGCACACACAGCCCAATCTCTCAAGTAGATTCACATTTTTATTTCCTTTCTCGAAATTTATCTACCCACACATCTGATAAATGCGAGCGGGCACTCTGCCGACATGACTGTTTCGTTACAGCGCATTACACAGGAAATTCCTTGCGGGATGACTCGGCGTCCCGAGCGACCCCATCTTTCCCGCGCTTTTCCCATCTGACATTTCAATAGCAGGAAGTGTTTACATTGTCACAAGCGGCGCTCTTTCAAGACTTGCCGAGGTCACCGCAACAGCTCAAGTGGGCATGACGAGCGGTTCTGCATCATTGCCCACGTTTGCAGGTGAACACAATATACCTGCAGCCCATGACGTAGCCAGACGCGTCTTAAACAGCGGAGTTGTCTGTTGAAATTGACAAGCATGACAGCTCATGTGAGATCGACATATATTTCTTAGAACACATGAATATGGTATTACAATAAACGTCAAGATGAGAACTCGTTTCATTACAATTTCTCACAATGTCCTAAGACATATACATCCTCCTGAATGGCTATTTATAAATGCAGCTCCCGCTTCGCCAAACCAGCTGGGCTGAAAGTATCACCCGTTTTCACTCGGCTCCGAATGCTATCTTCATTTCCGATGCTTCTTGATGAACGAAGCCCCACGCACACCGGTAATGCCAAATGCCGAGGCAGCCAGATGGCTGGAAATACAACCCCCGAGTTCACATGCATCTGGCAATGGACGGCAAGAAAAGAATCTCTGCCGTCAGTTGTCTTCCCCGCACTGATCGACAATAAACGCAGAATCTTGTATAAAACCCAGTCAGCTTACCATCAAGGGTTTCGAACAAGCATGATCATAACATACTAGCCTTGTCAGGATCACAGGTAAATAACATACAATATATGACAACACTTATCCACCATTCATGCTTTCATGATCTGCACGTAGTCTAATTCAATGAGAAATGGAATGAATTTTCTTAAGAGAAACGTAAAACAAACTCAAGTAATACAATTGATATATTTAATTCTTTCTTTTTTTTTTTGTACAATTTATACAAAATGATCATCTTGTGACATCAAAAATATTTCTTTCCAATGGTATATGAATGACACATAAAATACCCAAATAGCACGCATGATACAATGCCACAAATTGTATAAAGAATATAAAACGATGCGTCCCAAATGCTTGAAAACACCAGTAAATTGAGAATGAATGATCATTATAAATGCGCACTTAAAAAGGCCAAAAACAACCAATTTGGAAGATACAATCTGTTTGCAAAATGCAATGTAACTCAAACGACATTGATTTCAAACCCACGTGGTCTTGACCATCTGTCAATCAATGTCAAAAAAAGGTCGTAAAGCGATTTCGTTGAAAACAGTCCCCAATAAATACGCAGAAAACATAAGCCGTTAATATTTAATTGAAAAACGAGCACTACTGTTTAAAACAATATTGGCTTCGGCGAAAATGAGCGAACATATGCTTGAGTGAATTATGCCTTTGTCTTCGTAACCTGTCACCGAATGCGAGCGCGACCACGTGGTTTAGCGGTCACGTGACCTTCGCGTCAGCTGGGAGAGCCCCAATGCAGCCAGAAGACCACGCGGTCTTGCCCGACCGTACTTTGCATTCAGCGACAATAAGAGACGATTTCTATTGACGGTTGGAAATGAATAGGTTACCTGTAAAATGCGACAGGTATTCACCTGTGTAGCCTAAAGGCTGAAAAGACATTTGCACACGGTACTAATGAAACGATGAAATTTTGATATTTACGAATGTTTGGGAGAAAATGCTTTAACGTTTGTTGTAAATGACAACCCATTTGGGACATATGCCTATCCCGTTTCAAACTCAAGAATCGTATAAAAATACACAAATGCTTTGGTTCAGCCATTGTTTGAAGTCACTGTTTGAATGTATATATAATGAACTATTATTAAGAAACATAATTATTGCATGTATTTGACACTCAGTCCCGGTAGTCCGCCTGTACCGTATAAGAATTTTTAGTTGACAAAAACCTCCTTGAAATGTACATCCATTTCACTGAAGTGAACTTGAATATTGCCACAGTTCGTCATTAATAACACCGCACGTATGTTCCACACCCGAGTGGTCTTGCATAGAAATTCATCAAAAGCTGTCCGAATGTCAAAGTGCAGGTAATTAACAGGAAATGTACATGCGTGACACGCTGTGTCCACAAATGGCAGTGTTAGCAAAACTAGTTTATTTCGTCCCATCGAAACTCGCCGCCGACATGTGCTCCCGGCTCGCACATGTTGCTTGAATCTGACAGTTTGCACTCAGGGGAGACAACTCGTCTCTTCCTCTCACTTAGTCTCTTTGTTACCTTCTAATTTCTCAATCTGTCTCTGTTTCTCCAATTGACTGATGGCAACATCAACAAGCATGTAAAAACACCTGAATATGTCCTCTTTCCCCGTACTGCTTGGGGCAGGGGAGGAGGGGGGTGGGGTGTTGGCGTTATTGTCCCGTGGGTGAGGGCTAAAGTTCATATGCGGGGCAACCGATGTAGAAAGCCTCGATGCCGGCAATCTGTTCAGATTTTCATGATCCGAGTAATATTCACACGACGATGTTTCGCTGTCGGAAAGGTATCCATCCGTGTCCATGGAAACAGGGTATGGGGAAAGATCAGAATCGCGACTGGACGCACTGTCTTCGGAATTGTCAAACTTTCTGTCACTCTCTGTAAGGCAAAACTTTCGGTTGTCTTCCTCCTCAGAAAAAGACTTTTCTTTATTTTTCCGTGTGATTGTGAACTGTAATGGATCCATGCCATCCTTCTTAATCATCTCAGGTAAAATCCGGCGTCTGGCATTAATAAACCAGTTACACACCTGTAACACTGTCAGATTTGCCGCATTTGACAAGTACACCTTTTCCTGATCCGTCGGGTATGCGTTGTATCTGTGTTCGTACAACCAACCCTTGAGAATACGCACAGACTCTTTGGGTAAATTCCCCCTTCGTTTCTTGGCGGATGATTCGTACCCAACGTTCGAGTCGTCTCTTTTGCCGTCTCCCGAGTCGTAATCGTCACTTAACCAACTCTTGGAGTTCTTTTCTCGAACTAAATTTGAAAAAAAAACAAAACACATCGTCATTAATCCTTTCACATCGATTAATATACAATAGGGTATGAACTTGTAAACCGCTTTACCTACCTGTCAGTGGTGAACTTAAACCTCGTTGACATTTGAAAAAATAGCAAACAGATTGTGTCCAAAAAGAAATGGAAAATTTGAAAATATACTGAGAAATTGTTATAAATATGACTGCATTGGCATAGAGACGAACTCAAGTTCACTGTCAAACAGACAAACACCGAGTTGGACGGTAAACTTGCCCCGCTTGTGTTTGAACACAGTTAGGCGTGCCTGACATAGACTGGATCTGACTGTCACTTCTAGCTGTCAAGCGCTGTCAACATGTCCACCGCTAGTCACACAAATCAAATCAGCTAAAACGTCAGTTCAAATATTCAAAATATTTACCCTTAGCTGAAGTTGGACAGGTAAGCTCATTTTAATCAGCGCTTAAGCCCAGAAATTACACAAAGGCCCGCGACAAGCCGCTAACATCGATGCCCCCAAACCACGTGCGCCATGACAAGCGAGCCTCGCTGCTTGCTGTACAATTTGACATTTGTCGATATTCGCTTCAAAAACAACGGCACTAAGTCGACTTACCTCGCTTGGAGCGCATTTTGTCCATATGGACGCTTTGAAATCCGAAATCCAGCTTGCCGGTTCAGTTTAAACCACTTTCCTAACTGTCAAACTCTCACAACATGCGCTACGCTCTTCCTCGGTGAAACCACGCGGAGTTCTGGCATGCTATGGGAGTAGAGCATTTTTTGTTTGACAGCTATAGGCCACGTGGCTCATTAGCATCTCGCCGCTGATTGGTCAATGTCGCCGGGACAAAGGTCAGGCAACCACGCCAGCTGATGTTTCTCGTTGTTTGACAGAGATATGACACTGTAAAATTACAGATATAATCCTGAAAACCTTCCTCGTATCTCCACAAAAGCCGTCAATATATAATCAGGCAAAATCAACCTGTCCTATAGTCAAACATTGCCGGTTAAAAGTTTCGCGCTATAATGGTCACGTGACAACACAAAGCGCTGTCAGGGTGCTGTCATAATACTGCTAACTGTCAAAGTTTCCGTGTAGTTGCTTGTTACAAAACTAACTGAATTTGTGGTTGAGTTACGGCATATAACCCAGATTCGACAATTGTGTCAGCGAGATATATATCTCAGCCGACACCACTGTCATTTAAATCCGAATTGCCAAAGCTTCTTTGTTTATTCCACTAATGACAGCTCGTGGTATATAAATAGGTCTATGACATACATAGTTATTTATAGTAGATTATGAAGCCCTCCAACAAAGATACAAATTACCTTGTTATTTCGTAGCGTTTCCTCGTTTCCTGGGGCAATTTTAAACAACGTGTTGCACCTATTTCGTACTGCTACCATAGGCAATATGATTAAAATCGATAAAATGTGGTTTTTACGAGACGACATTAATTCAGGACACATTGAAACACATGGCGGTACCATCAGCTCGTGCAACAGGCGGTGGTATAGCCATTGGACGGATAGACGACACTAAGCTTTTGTCCTGGGCGGGGAAATCATTTTTGGGGTGGGGGGGTACGGTTGTGACAGCTTTTGTTTTCCGGCCGAGGAAAGCCGTTGTATTCACACTATGGTAAAACATCCTTTGTTTCTTCTTGCTTTAATCTCCATTCGTATATAGGCCCACTTTTTTGGTGTTTTGACAATTTGTTTGCAAAGGTACTTAACCGTATTCCGCGAGCCGAAATAATTGCTGCTCATTAAGTCTGATTAAAGTTGTTTCTTAGGGGACTTTGTCACGTTTCTCTAAGTTGTATACACTTATGTATTTGCCTTTCCGAAACGATGTTCTATGCTTTTGCTTTGAATGTGTATATGAAATAATACACAAATATGAAAACATATATATTGTCACACACTAAACCCTCTAAATTGAGTGGATTATATAACAAACGGTCAGAATATATTTGAACTTCATTTACTCATGATTGAACAGAATTGTATTACTGTCAGTGCTACGTATATAAAGAATGTTAGGGGTAGATCAGAGTTTTTATTAAGACCAGGAATTTTACTTGAATGTATAAGTTACTATTTTCCAATTTGGCTAGTTTCTCAATTAAGATATTATTTTTACATTAAATACCTGGTTAAGATTATACATTGGTGGATGGACAGTAAAGTGTTATGTCATCAGGCCCCTATTTCTTGAAACAAACTTAAGTCTGAGTTTTGACTTAAGTTAGAGTTTTTACTCAAATTTGAGAAAATGCATTTCCCAGAATGAACTGAATTCGATATTAAACTCAAACGTAGTAGACAATTTGAGTTTGGTGGATAGATTACTTAAGTTGTTTGGGCTTTTTTATTTATAAGATGCAGTTGAGTTAAAATTCAGCTGCTTCAAATTGTCAAACTCCGTTTGAAATTTGAGTAAAAACGTAAGTTTGTTTCGGGAAATCGGGGCCTGTACAGCTGTCAAGATGGAAGTAAAATACATTTAAATGTCAAAGTTAAACTTAAATTTGTCCTCAGTATCATGACAAAAAGTGTTTTCCTATATAAGAGTGCACTGTATCATCTTCAAGTGTACACATCTTTGTTATTGGTGAGCACGTCTAGCTCATCAATGGTTAAAGCGTTGGCTCGTCACGCCGAAGACCCGGGTTCGAATCCCCACATGGGCACAATGTGTGAAGCCCATTTCTGGTGTACTCCGCCGTGATGTTGCTGGAATATTGCTAAAAGCGGCGTAAAAACCAAACTCAGTCAGTCAGTCAGTCAGCCAGTCTAGCTCATCAATAACAAAGATTTGTACAGTTTTAGGGATGTCAATAAATATGTTCACAGAACACGTCTACCCTTTATATATATTATTTAATTTTCTTTTTTAGCGCAAACGTTTTTCTATGACTTTTAGTAGCTTGTATATATTTTAGATTTAGTCTCTCATAATTCCATATGGAATGGTGCATGTGCTTTTACTGGTCATTTGTTATTTTGTCTATATTGTACATGCAGTGAGACGTTAATAAATTATCTGTCTGTCTGTCTGACCCTTTATGATTGTTTAAAGTCTCGCTATGCTAAGTGAACCTTTAATCAGCTCTCCATTGTCCTACATGTGAAGATTAATCCAGACAACGAGATCTATGTTTATCAGCCTTGTATACAAATACATTAGTATGTCAATATTGACATTTGACGGACAGTTCTGTTTACATGTAGATATATTGGCAATCATATAATCGTTGAACACGAACACAAAACGTGAATATGTAGGTGAAAATGACGCCGATATATAGACTTGATACGTCATTTGTTGTGACCGATTTGTTGACAAACATTGTAAATGTCGCGTAAACACAGTTTGGTACTGATGCGGGGGGTGGGGTTGTGTGTGTATATAACTGTAACAGGGGAAACGCGTACTTTATTTTGTATAACACTGACATGTCTTTTGAAGCGGAATATTGGTAGATACACACATGGTACGATGTCAATACCCCGGGCTTACGGTCAGCTGTTGCAGTCACACTTACGGGGGAGGGGGGAGCGGCTGGCCGATAGCATCGAGCATCAAAATTTCATTACTAGTTTGTGGCAGCGGATCAACGACGTTCCTTGAAATTAAAACGAGTTAATAACGCAAACAGACCTCTCACATTTTTTCGTTATTGATGTTGGTAAAGGCGATTGAAGTGCCCTTGCCTTCGAGATGAAGTATGGTATCGGCCTCGTATATGTTGTTGCTGTTATTGCCAGTAACATATTCGACCCGTGAAGATCCGGGTTAGAATTGATCTTCAGTAACCCATGCCTGTCGTAAGAGGCGACTAGCGAGATCGGGTGGTCAGGCTCGCTGACTGGGTTGACACATGTCATCGTATCCCAGTTGCGTAGATTGATGCTCATGCTGTTGATCCCTGGATTGTCTGGTCCAGACTCGATTATTTACAGACCGCCGCCATATAGCTGGAATATTGCTGAGTGCGGCGTAAAACTAAAGTCACCCACTGACCCCGACGGTGTTGAACATTGCTCGTGTTTTATAAGCAATTGAATAATTTCCCCATGACAAGACCAAAACTAAACTCAATCACTCACTCACTAACATATTCGAGAACCGATTCCAGTCCACACCTCTTTGTTATTGTTGATGGGAAGTGTGGCGACAATAAATCAGTCATTCAGCCCGACTAACGTGATCAAACTATTAAACTCCGGATATATATAACCAAACATTGTGTACGTGAATATACTCATAATTGTTGATTAACGGAAAGTGTAGTAAAGCTAATGTGTGCTGCAGTTTTTCACGTAAGTACAGATCCTACTGGTGACGACCTGTCCGCTTGTTCTCCACACACAATGGGGACGGTGGGGTAGCCTAGCGGTTAAAGCGTTCGCTCGTCACGCCGAAGACCCGGATTCGATTCCCCTTATGGGTTCAAGTTGTGAAGCCCATTTCTGGTGTCCCCCGCTGTGATATTGCTGGAATACTGCTAGAAGCGGCGTAAACCCACTCACTCACTCACTCACTCACTCACTCCATACACACTGTATGATCGAAGTGTTACGTTATTGTTGTCCGGGTCAACTGATCAGTGTGCATTGTTTTTTTATCCTCAGAGCCCTGGGGAGTATACAACCCAAACTGTCTCTGGGAAGCTAGAAGATTAGCAGTCACCGGGTACCCATTCACAGCTGGGTGTTGAAAGGCATATTTCGACTAAAGTCAATTGCCTACATGACTTACATGTACAGATAGAAGATTACCTGTCATGTCAATTTCTGTTCCTACCTAGCCTAACGGCTAAAGCGTTCGCTCATCACGCCGAAGGCCCCCATTTCTGGTACCCCCGCCGTGATATTGCTGGAATAATGCTAACAGCAGCGTAAAAATAAACTCATTCACTCACTCTTCCTACCAGGTACCCATTCACAGCTGGGTTAGACGAGACACATCTCGACAGCAGTTACTTGTATATTGTCCTTCATGTGCTTCTTTGCGCCAGTCAAGATACAGGGTCCCAATCCACAAAACATTCGTAGCGCTACGACATTCGTAAGCCTATATGATAAACATTTGAGTTACGACAGGTCGTAACATCAAGAACGCTTTGTGGATCGAGACCCTGGGACCCTATCCACTAAACGGTCGTAGCACTATGCCATTCGTAAGCCTATGAGGTACGATATGTCGTAACGTTACGAACGCTTTGTGGATCGGTAGCCTGAACACGAACGCCTATCCGCGGACTTTCTGACATGTACCGTATATACTCCATGGTGTATAACAGCTTTACTTCTGATATAACGACGAGAGGTTTCGTAGTAGGGTTTGACAGTTTTCAACAATAAACCGGTTATAGAATGTATACGGCGAGTCAGTTTAATGTGGGCGGAATATCCGGAGTACATACAGGCGTATACTACTTTGACGAAACTCTCAAACATGGATATGCTGCCGACATAGGTCCGAATCATCTTCCCGGAGAGCGGAAGGTCGCGGGTTCGATCCCCGGCCGCGTCATACCAAAAGACGTTAAAATATGGTACTTGTTAGTCCCTGCCTGGCGCTCGGCATTAATGGGTACAACAATGACTGGTCGGCTCGGAGTCAGTATAATGTGTCTGAGTGGGGTCTTCATGCTTAACTGCGGCATGGTATCTCAGTGAGCTAACACTCTAAAACCAGCTACAGTCTGGGCTAGTACAAGCAGCACACATACACATACACGCATGCACGTCGTCATGTGAGCGAAATATTCTTAAGTACGACGTAAACCCCATTTCACCTCGCCCACCGCATCATCTAGGATTCCAACCATCGATCAGCCAATCC